TGCCAGAGGGTGCCACTGTGTGCCAGAGGGTGCCAGAGGGTGCCACTGTGTGCCACTGTGTGCCACAGGGTGCCAGAGGGTGCCACAGTGTGCCACTGTGTGCCAGAGGGTGCCACTGTGTGCCACTGTGTGCCACAGGGTGCCAGAGGGTGCCACTGTGTGCCACTGTGTGCCACAGTGTGCCACTGTGTGCCACTGTGTGCCACTGTGTGCCACAGGCTGCCAGAGGTTGCCACAGACTGCCACGGGGTGCGAGAGGCTGCCAGACCATCTTCCGCAGCCGCTGCTGCTGTTTTGGGGGAAGCCATTGATGATTTTCAGCAAAACGAGTTATCATAAATATTACTGTAGATCTTTATAGATGATTTTTTGATGATGATATTGTTTAATAAACTGTGAAAGACCTGTAATATAAAGGGCCTGGATTTACTTGAAATAAAAAATTAATAATTTTTTTTATAGACGAATAATGTGAATATTTATTCAGAAAATGAAAACTAAAAATTAGTAAACACACTGGCAGTCTGTGGAAATCMTTGGCCAGGAAGGTGCAACAGAASCTAATATCTGCTAGTCAATTCAATAATTAACAGTGATTACTTYAGCGTTGTATAAGCTAATTTTAATTATACTGTAAATTTTTTAGTTAGCTTCAGTTCTGGTCAGAGTACAAAAGAGTATTAGGGCTACTAAAAAAAATTAAAAAGAAAAGAATGAAATTCTCAGTTCAGTCTCCCTCCTGCCTGCCCTCTCTCCGAAGAGACTCGTTGTTGTATCGTAACCTCGTCAGGACTAAGACTCTCTCCCATGGAGTCTTTTTCGTTCACAAATAAGTGTTAAAGTGTAATATATTATTGTTTTTGTTAATATCAATTTTTACATAATCARCCATTATTGTTTGCTTTTTTGCCAATATGTATTCAAATTTTGGATTTTGATTACTCTGACAATTTACTAACAGCTGCGTTCAAATGCATACTGTTAGTGGTACTCTTTTTACTAAATCATTTTTAAAAATACAACATGAAAATAATTTAAATTTAATAATGAATAAAATGTGTTTGTGATTTCAGGGCCCTGTATCCTTCAGCGCCAAGCTGCAGTTTTTGGATCAGCATCAGCAGAAAACCTCAGAGGTCTGAGTCAAATGCAACAAGCAGWGGAGAGAGGTGGAGCAGGTCAAACACAGCCTCATACTGGAGCATGCCAAGTGGATCCAAGAGTGTCAGTAGCACTATAATTAATCTACAGAAATGCTTTACCCATATGATCCTAAAAGTCACAACAGTGTTCCAACTGTTGGAGTATTGTTATACTTACTCTGTATTTACAACACTCGGCTGACGTGACAAAAAAATAAGTTAGGGAGAAAGACCCACCTTGGTGATTTTTAACATGTTTAATTCAAAAAGAAATGTCAAGCAGAACATCTCAGGAATGAGACAGAACCAAACAGTAGGATGTCTCACCTCAGATTGTCAGAGCGCTCATTTGAACAAAACTTATTAAAACACAACAACACCCTCAGTCTGATTAAGACTATCGCTTAAAGAGCAGCACAACCAAACATATTCATTTCTAACTTTTAGAAATCCATAATCCTTAGTCTTACCACTGGTATATACAATGAACAAACACTTTGCTGTGCTCACACATGATCCTGGTTGTTTTCAGTGACTTTTAGTGTGTGAAATTAAGGATTGCAACAGAGATTCAAGGATAAATGTAGAATCAGACATCTGGTTCTGTGTTCACACCACACGTTTGTGTGAATTCTTCATGATCARGTGACAATGTTCAGGCGTAAAATAAAATTAAAGCTGAGTTTTGTGACAAATTCATAAGCTTCTCTCTATATGTTCGTAGTCATGAATATGG